GAGATTCCAGCAGTGGTACTGTCTCCCATAGAATAAGGCACATGTGCTCAGTAATCTTAAATTTTGGATTCGTGGCTATGTTGTGGATGCTTGACACCCCTGCAAATCTAACATGAAACCCATACTGTTGTAATCACCTAGTAATGAAAAACTGGAAAAGAGCAAAGGGAAGGCTAAAGAATACTTTACACGCCCAGTAAAGTCTGGGGGAAACAGGGAAGGCACTTGTCAGTCACACGTGGGAACAGGCCATTGGCCAGAGTAGGTGTGGCCACTGCAAAGACAGGAAGATGTGAGATACACAACCCTCTGAAGAAAGGAGTTTTCAATTTTGCCTCTTGGCCCTTGCTTGCTCACGCTCGGCTCCTGGCCTGCGGGACTCTCACACTCCTGCATCTGCCTACATGGCTCACAGCCATGTGGACCCCACACAATGGACTAGTGGGCCACAGCTATCTGGTAGTGTATCAGGCCCAGCTCCACCATGGATCAGAAACTCTGGACACTGGCTTTGCTTCTAGCCCTGCTGACTCCCCAGCTGCATGTCTTCCAGGACAGGCTTAAGGGAAATGGGACTTTATAAACCCAGAGATGTAGCTCCACACAAATAAAGCTTTCTACCACATCTCACCCTCCTGTGGGGGCCTCTGGAAATGCTTATTCCTGCAGTACCCTGAGAACCCCACTCCCCCTAGCAACGGAGAAAGACCATCCATCCATTTCTCAGGTAACCAGACTATTTGAAGTGTAAGTAGAATAAAACTTCTTTAAAATAAGTTTGAGCCCGGGGAGGGCGTGGCTCAGCAGTTGAGCATCAACCTAGGATCCAGGAGATCGCTGTTCAATTCCCGGTCAGGGCACAAGCCCGGGTTGTGGGCTCCATCCCCAGCAGGGGGTGTGCAGGAGGCAGTCGATCAATTATTCTCTCTCATTATTGATGTTTCTATCTCTCTCCCCCTCTCCCTTCCTCTCTCTGAAATCAATAAAGATATATTTAAAAAATAAATAAATAAATAAAATAAGTTTGGGCCCCATGCTAATAAGTTATGTCAAGAATTTCAAATTTAGGATTAAGAATTAAATGAATTTCGGTGTATAAAGGAGATGATTCTGGCCACTGCTTGAAGCTTAGTGTCCTTTTACTTCTTATACAATAGCATTATGTGTAGAATGGGTGCTCTGGCCCTACACCTGGTATTTTCATGAACAACTCTGAGAATACTCCAAGGAATATCTCTAGAAGATATGAGGTAGACAGCAAAGCCTCCGCAGCCTCATTCTAGAACAATACTTTTGGCAGATACAAGCAAAATTCGCCCCAAGACATTATTTTCTTGGGCCCCCCACACACCCTAGCTCTCAAAGACACAGTGCTTCCCTTCCAGAGCCTCAGTTTCTTCACCTATACTGTAATCAAATTGGACCCTATGATTTTTAAGGTTCCTTGTGTCTCTAATACTCTGAGATTCTAAATGGAGATCAAAGGCCCCAGAGTCTGAATTGAGGCCACCAGGATGTCTCCAGGTCTTGATCTGTCACATCCCAACCACAACTGTTGTGAATGGGACCATTTTATTTGTAGCCAAATGGCTCCTTACCCATTTAGTGGCTTGCCATGTAACCTCGTGTAGCAGTGCATGAGGAAATAAGTGTGAGGTCTGTTCAAACAGTGGAATTGAAAAACATGTTGCCACAGTCATCCCTAAGGAACAGAATATAGCCATTCATCATAATTTATAAACTTTGAGTACTCTATTTTTCTACAGTTGGGAAACACTGATGGCTTTAAGTATCTGAAGGGAATAAAAATGAGGATATTTATTAACAAACATTAATTAACAGAAGTCTACTGAAAACCATCACCATTAAATAGTACAAGAAAATGCTGAGGTTTTAGTCAATACCAACATCATACAGCTCAGAACCTCACTACACAACACAAGTGTACAGCTGTGGCCAAATTTTATGGACAAGGAGAATGACTTTCTAAAGAATGTATACCCAGTTCATTTCAATGACATATGTTCAAAACTAACAATTTGTAATAAAACATAGCTCTTTATCTCAATACCAGTAGTATGTAATGAACGTGCAATGCAAAGAAAATCCGATTAGTTCAGAGTGTCAAACATATCATCCTGCTCACAAATGCTTAATGAAAACCATACAAAAGAGCACAATATAACTCTGTAGAAGGATAAAGTCTTTGAAATGCTAACAGACACTTGAGGGAGAGGTTAAGTATTAGCAGGAAATAGCCGCATGCAAATTAAATCTCAGAAGCTGGAGACTGTCTACATTTTAGGAAAAGTGTATCATTAGTCATGCTAAGTGTTCAACAAGAAGAATGATACTTAATTTTTGGTGACTTTTACTCAGAGAAGATCCTAGGCTTTCAGGCACTTTACGCGGCATGGGGGGGAGAAGGGGGTTAGCCAGCATCCACCGTAGCCTGAGTTCTACAGGCCTCACTCGTCAGAGGAAGACTGACGAGCCGTCTCTGCCAGTGCGGCTGCAGGTCTTCATGGTCTGCAACATGTCAGGGAAATTAAGGTGGGCATCAGGCATGACAGCCTGCAGGCTTCTTGCTGATGTGATGAACAGGACCACTGCCCTTTTGTTTTTAACAATATGCATCAAACCAGTGCCAAGCTAAGCAAGACCTGGGCTGTCTTTGCCCAGAATTCAGAGGAAGCTGAGTTAGGAGCAGGACAGTCTTCCCTTGGTAGACTTTTGGGGTGCAGGGGGAAGAGTCACACTGGAACACACAATTGGAGAAGAAAACCCAGCACGCCCTAGCTGGTTTGGCTCAATGAGTAGAGTGTTGGCTTATGGACTGAAAGGTCCCGCGTTCAATTCCAGCAAGGCCATGTACCTCGGTTGCAGGCTCATCCCCGGCCCTGGTCGGTGCTCGAGCGGGAGGCAGCCAATCGAAGTGTGTCTCTCACGATGTCTCTCTCTCCCTCCCTCTCTCCCTCTTCCACTCTCTCTGAAAAGCAATGGAAAAAATATCCTCTGGTAAGGATTGAAAGAAAAAGAAAACCCAGCAGTGTTTGCACTATGTTAATGATAATCATGGCAATAGAGCCCATCTGGTATGTACACCCAATGAAATCTTTTGCAAGCATTAAAATAATTAGTACAAAACCTAGATGCATGAGGAAACTGTGATACTATATTGGGTAAAGAAAGCAACCACACCATAACAATAAGGTAAAAATATATATTTGTATATGGCAGATGGAGAGACACATAGAAAATTGAAAATGGTTTCAATTTTTGGAAAGTGGGATTGTGAGAGAATTGTTTCCTTTTGATTAATGTAATCATTAAGGATGCTAAAATATTCTTATAATAATATTTTTTGTGTTGCTGAAACACTTGTCAAAATGAGTAGATTTTGTAAGGTTTAGCTTTTCTCCACTTTAATTATTTACAGTGCGGTTTCCACTCCTTCCCTCCCTTTAGATTTGAGGACTAATGTATCCTTAATGTTATTTATTGAATCATCAAATATAGTTCCTATGTGGAAATAAATCTCAAAGCCAAGTTTGAAAGTAATGTGCACCCAGCCTAAGGAAGTTTTATTTTGAACCTTTACCATTAGGACTTGGTTCACATCAAGAAAACAACTGTAGTTCATATGGGCACTTATTCTAGAAATGTCACTCAGGACAGCCCTGAAGACAAGGAAATTTGCACAGTGTGATCAGAACACGTGGAAAAAGTCCACTGGGCTTTCCGAACATCCTTATGCCAGGAAAATAAGATTAAAATGAGCATCTAGGATAGCCTTGAAATAGAACATAAATGTTTTTTAAAGGGCAAATTGCACTCAGAGAAAAATAGAGGTAATATTGAAGTGTGGCTGGGATGGGGAGTAGCGAGTGGGGCTGTAGGAGGACAGCCTCATCCCGTGTCTTGGAACCTGCAGGGGGTTAAGAGCTTCTTGTTTATCTGTGAGCCTGAGATCTTAACTCAGGTGAGGGCTGCCTCCTTGGGTCATTTGCCAATTGCTGCAATTGCTGCTTCATATGGAAGTGTCTGCTTTGCCAGACACAGACATGAGTTCAGGTCAGGGTTAGGGACACAGCCACAGGCTGTTCCAGAAACAGATGGGACAAGAGCCCCAGCGCCATTAACAGTACACTCACACCATCTGCTTGCCATCTTACCAACTTTCTTTCCTTTTTTTACATCCTCGCAGGAGGACATGCTTAGAGAGAGAGAGAGAAACATTCATCAGTTGCCTTCCACACGTGCCCCAACCAGGGATCAAGCCCACAACTCAGGTGCGCGCCCTGACCGGGAATCGAACTGGAAACCTTTCGGTGCACAGAGACGCTCAGCCAGCTGAGCCACTCCGCTGGGCCCTGCTTGTCGCCTTCCTTCTGTAGTTAGCCACGCTCAGGCTAACGGAGGCAGCCAACACGTGCTGCCAGCCACCTCCAGGGCCTCTCAGAGGCCAAGAGACTTTTAGTTTCTCCATGTATATAGAAATGAAGAGATCTGACTTGGGTGGTAAACACACATGCAGTATACAATGATGTCTCATAGAATTGTACACTTGAAACCTATATAATTGTATTAACCAATGTCACCCCAATAAATTTAATTTTAAAAAAGAAATGTATAAGCAGGGTTACAAAAATTTTAGTACATTTTTAATATTTACATTTAACAAACTGATGCTTTTAAAGCACACCAAAAAAAATTTTTTTTTAAAGTGGTAATTACAGGATTTATAGGACTGTTAAGTCCTAGCGCACTATGGACAGTGTGATCCAGATGATGGGACACAAGTTTAAAGTGGTCCAATGGGTATTGTCTCCTTTCAGTCCTCTTGGTATCACTCCAGACACAATATTCATGTGTACACTTGAGACCCTTCATGTGGGAAGCCCAGGCCAGAACCCCCCCTTGGTCCCCCATCAAGGGTACTGTTCCTCTCCCAAATGTTTGTAATTGGAAATCTTTCCTTAACCGTAATCCTCTCACACCACCTGCTCCAACTTACCGTGAAATTATAAAGGAAGCAAAAAGACAATTTTCAAGGAACCAAAAGGATTTTAGGATGTAAGTTGATGCCATACTGTTGCTAAATATAAAATCATAGACTCTTCTAGAACTGGAAATGATCTTAGAAACCAGCTACACTGAGCTCTTTGTTTTACTGATGAGGACAGTCACCTCTGAGCATCTTACAGCTCAGAGATTCTTTCCAGGTAAGTGTCAAGAATGTACATTGTAATCATGGAGCCATGCAGCGTCAGGGATGGAAGGAAGGAAGGAAGGAAGCTCTTCTGTGGTGTGATTGGGGGGATGCACCCCAGCATGGAGAGGCCAGCAGAGAGCCCCAGCCACTAGGGATGGGATTATTGTCCGTTTACAAAGACACGCCTTGAAGGAAGAGCAGAGAATTTGTCTTCAGTAGAAGGAGCTCCCTGGAGCCATAGTGGCAGCTGGGGTGGTATTGAGGAAAGCAAGGCAGGGAGGTCTTTTCTGAAATGTTTTCTCAGGGAAACATTTTCAGTTTTTTTGTACTTAATTAAAATGATTACTCGTGGCCAGTCATGGTATTCTTATGTGCCAGGAGGCCAGAAATGGCTTAATGACAGGATGTCCATCAACTGTTATAAGAAGAAATTGGCAAGATCCAGTTCTTCTATGATGTCAAAGCCACTGCCTAGAGGTCTTGTTGCCTTAAGTGGGAGAAAGGATGGGTGCCTGATGCTTTTCAGGAAACACATCAAAGAGAGGTAACTGGAAGAGCAGCCAGCTAGGTCCTATCCAGGAGGCAGATAAAAAACCTGAGTTTCTGCTCCCCATGGGTCCCCATTCCCCTCCCACCCACAAACACAGAGACGGAGCCCTGAGATTTCCCTTGCTCAGTGGGATGAGCAGGATGGATGCCCCGTGAGAGGGCCCTAGTGGAAGCAGCAAGTCCAGCCCATGCTCAGGTGTCACGAGTGACGCCTCTGGCAGGTGTTTATAAGAGGACGCGCTGGGGGATTCCTCACACCAAGTACTGTGCGGGAGGGACGCTGAAGAATCGGTTTATAAAGGACTTTCACTGACCCTTGAAAGTTGGCAAGTTGTTGATTTACTCTTTCACAATTAGTAATGTTTGCTTTATTTTAAAATTTAACTTTTATAGGGAAAAGCACAGAATTAACGAAGAAATAAAACTCCTAAGAGAGCGGCAGGAAAGAATTGACAAGGAGCTTGATAGGTTTGTTTCTTGTTCAACTCTGTAGTGCTTAAAAATATTTTAATTGAACAAATGTGTTACATAAAACCACAATGATTTTATTATATAAAAATACACCAACTCAAATATCTGCAAAGAGATTTTCCACTCAACAGTTCATCTGGAGTAACACTTTAACTTTCTTTATCCACATAATCACCTACTCTGCTAATTTAATTACTTCCTAAAATTATCACCATCTCTTTTTACTCCACCAGATATAGGACTTAAGCACAAGGCTTTTTAAAAACAAACCCATAACCATGCCACCCATTTATCTGGTCTGTCCCAGGCTAGTTCTTTGTCCCCCTTCTGCCCCTGCTGCTTCCCCTATGCATAGACTGTCCCCCGCTGAAGCAAGGAAACTGGGCTCATTTGACTTATTTTATAAATTAGAGTATGAAAAGGAAAACTATGAAGTATTGAGACTAATCCACTTCTTCCAACACACCCACACGAGAAGAGCATCAAATGCAGAGAGCCCCCAACAAGCCCATGGGGACCGCCAGTCACGCTGCCACACTTCTCGTTGCTGTTCTAGAATTAGACCACCAGTCTCCCAGTCACAGGAGAAAATCCAACCCCTGACTTTAGAATCTTATCTCACTGTTCACCACAATCTTACCAGCCAGCTTTCCCTTTTGCAACTCCTCAGCTATAAGATCTGATTCCAGGTGACTTTTACAAGTTCCCCAAAACCACATCTATGTAGGACCGAATTTCTCCCCACTGAGGATAGAAGGAAGAATGCAGAATGGTTTTGAGAGCAGTGTGTGCATAAATGTATTGCATGCAATGGCACACTGTTGGAGAAAGTCAAGGGGAAAAGACTCATTTGGTTATATGAATTCCACATGCCTGTTAAACTTACAGGCCGAGCATGGAGCTTCTATCTGTCATCCCCGAAAATGAGATCTCCGTGAAGAAGGCAGGCAACCGGGATGGATCGGGTAGTACCAATGATTGCAAAAGTGACCGTACAGTTGACCCCTGAACAATGCTGACACTCGCACAGTCAAAAGTCCATATATAACTTTTGACTCCCCAAAACTCAAGTTATCCCTGAGCATCCACAGGAGATTGATTCCAGGACCCCTGCAAATACAAAAATCCGCGAGTGCTCAAGTCCCTTATAGAAATGGTGTAGCCCAAGCCCGGCTGGGTGTGGCTCAGCGTTGAGCATTGACCTACGATGCAGGAGATCGGGGTTTGACTCCTGGTCAGGGCACATGCCCGGGTTGCGGGCTCGATCTCCAGTCGGGGGCGTGCAGGAGGCAGCCGATCAATGACAACTCATCATCAATGTTTCTCTCTCTCTCTCACTCCCTTCCTCTCTCTGAAATCAATAANGCGAGTGCTCAAGTCCCTTATAGAAATGGTGTAGCCCAAGCCCGGCTGGGTGTGGCTCAGCGTTGAGCATCGACCTACGATGCAGGAGATCGGGGTTTGACTCCTGGTCAGGGCACATGCCCGGGTTGCGGGCTCGATCTCCAGTCGGGGGCGTGCAGGAGGCAGCCGATCAATGACAACTCATCATCAATGTTTCTCTCTCTCTCTCACTCCCTTCCTCTCTCTGAAATCAATAAAAGATATATATTTTTTAAATGGTGCAGACCGATGCACAGTCAGCCCTGCACATCCACATCAAAATGAATTATTGCAAAGAACCCACGTATAAGCAGGCCCGCAGAGTCCAAATCAGTGTTGCTCAAGGGTCAACTGTCTTAAAAACCACTGAACTGTACACTTTAAAAGGGTGAGTTTTATGGTACTTGACATATCTTAATAAAGCTATTTTTTTTAAGAGAAGGAGATTGTAAATTAAGAGTGACCTGGAAGATGGGTTGATGTTAACTGAGATGGACTAGAGTCTCAGGGTGACCTGCAAGTCAAGGAGGCTCTAAGAGGGTGTAGCTGAAAAGGGCCCAGGAGTGTGTGAATGACTACGAGGAAGAAATCCAAACTGTAAGAACACACTCAAGAAACACAGAGCCAGTGGGTTATGAGAAGTGAGGCGAAAACGCAGGTTGAGGTGATAAAATCAGCAGAGAAAGAAATAGAAAATGAGTGAGGGGCCATTTATGGGTCACAGAGCACTAACAGGAGAGACCCCTAGGAGGCGGCCCTACGGTGCCCTCGGGTAGCCTAAACGCTAAAGAAACCTAGAGCAGGGCTTGCCCGGTTGGCAATCCAAACTGTAGGCTTATGCAAAGTATATTTGGGATTCTCAGAAAATTCTACTTCCTATGAACTTCATGGAGGAAGAGTAATTTTAAAATGTTTCACCTGAAAATTACCAGTGAATGAATAGCTTTATACCCTTTCTCACTGTTCTCTCTCTCATCTGTTTCTCTTGCCAATGATGTCTCTCCCTTGTCTAAAGTTCCTACCCTTCCTTGCCTAGGCTGCCTCTGCCTCTTCCCTCTCTGGGCCCAGCTACTCATCTCCTTCATAAATATGTCCCGAGTGAGTGCTTGGTGGCAGAAACCATGGGAGTCCTGGGTGCCCACCCTGCGAGCGTAGTCTAGGAGCACCCTCACCCTTTAGCCTCTCCCGTCTCTGCTACTTGTGAGCTGTATGTCTGCGGGCAGGTGACTTAACCTGTCGGAGTCTGTTTCCTCACCTGTAATACAGGATAATAGCAGTACCCACTTCATAAGGTTGCTACGAGTGTGACTGAATTAACATTTGTAAAGTGCTGCCAAGTGCCCAGCATATTAAACTCCTAGTAAATGTTGGCTCTTAGTGTCAGTATAAACACTAGTTTTGTTAACAATTTTCTTTGTTCCGTGATTAGACTCCAAGCAAAGGCTACCAAGAAGCCTCAAGAAGTTGAAAATGACTTTAAGAAGTTCGTACATAAAATGGTATGTTTTGTTTTTTAAGTAATCAAGAATTCTCTCTCTCACTTCTCTTATGTAGACTAGACAGTATTTCATAAGCAACATACAGTTTCATGTCGAAGTCACAGTGGCGGAGAGAATACATTCTTGTTATTGAATCGTCCACATTTAACATGATCTGTTTACATGTCCGTGACCACCTCACGCCTACTGCCCTCCCCCACCCCCCAAGACAGTCCATGCAACTGAAAACCTGCAGGTGCAGGCAGACTTTCAAATTAACAGGAAATTATTGGTGTTTGAAGTCATGTTCACATTTTCCATTAACATTTGAACAAAAACATACTGGATTCCAACCACTGTTAAATGAATGGTTCTTGCCCTCAGTTAACAGAAACATAAGACAGAAATGCTAAGTTTCTGAACAGGGCTCCAGAGAGAAAGAAAGAAAGGAAAGGAGAGAGACTGCTCCCCCTTCCCAGTTTTCTGTGTCCTCTCCTCCTCTGCTTATGGGGAGTCCTGTGCGATCAGGGGCCTTCCTCCCTTCCAACAGGCAAGAACACGTAGAGATCAGTGGACAATGAATCTGAAGGCTGGACAATCTGAGGTCGGGAACAGGAGAGGGCCTTTTATTTTCAGCATGTCAGGCTTCCACTCAAAAATCTAGAGCAATCCTCACTGGCTGTTAGTGTAAAGTCAAAAACAGGGGTCAAATAATCTAATTTAATTCCTATATAAGCCAGAAAGGTGTGATAGAAAGGAGTAAAATACCTGGGTGGTTAATAGTAAATAAACAGGACTGTTCTTTACTTCCACAGACACAAAATAATTCTCCCATGTTTGTTGGTATCTCTTAACTACGACTGCTAGAGACGTGGCTACAGAGAAATATTTACTTAGTGTGGGAAAACAACTGTGCAGGTCTGCTGGGAAAGGGCACGCTGACCTCAGCTAGTGCATGATAAATGAATGGCCTGAGTGTCAGGGAGAGTATGAGGAGTTGTGAAAACTGTAGCACACTGGAGAGCCCCCGCCTCATCCAAACCAGGCAACTACTTTTCCTCAGCTTTAGTTCACTGTTGCCTGGTAGGAATGGAGGCCAAAGTGTTATCAGGTCTTCCACCATCGGTAATTTAGATTCATGCTCAAATTTCATCTCCTGCATGAAGCTTTTTTCTAGTGGCCCTAGCCTTGTCCTTTCCAGACAAGTTTGATATCTCTCATAATTTCTAGGATAGCACTTGGTGATAGTCTGATTGAAAAATAGTTCTTTTCTTCAAGCCAGACATCAAAACAAATGTAGGGTAAACCCCTGGCTTAGACAACTGTGTCCTGCAAAGTAGAGTGCACACTGGAAACACCCATTGCAAGGAAGGGATCTCATGGTGGAAAATTTATATATGATAGAAAAGCAATAGCAACTGCCTTTTTTTTTTTTTTTGATGTAATGCAGGTTATCTTTAAAGAACTATATATCAATCCCAGATCTTTTATGGAAAATGGAAAGGTATTAAAAAACAAAGGATTATAATTTTAAATCCATTCAGATTTTGTCCTGGCGGGACGGCTCAGTTCATTGGAACATCACCCCGTACACCGTGGGTTTGATTCCGTCAGGGCACAGACCTAGGATGCAGGTTTGGTCCCCGCATATGAGAAGCAACCAATCAATGGTTCTCTCAAAACGAAACAAAAAAATCAGTAAACATTCCTCGGGTGAGGGTTAAAAAAGTTAAATCAATTTAGAATTTGGATTACTGAGTTTTAAAAACTCAAAATTATTTCAAATAATTTGACTTAAGCTTTCTCAAGTCTTTGCCTTTCTGCTAAGAAGTTTATTTTAGAATAGAATAATGGATTTCCTAGTACTTTCTATATGACTGTTGTCCTTTGAGAACTATTACAACCAACTTTGCCTAAGCCTATGAAACTGAGATTCAAAATGATGTCCAATCTTTGAGCTGTACATTAATGAACAAAAACAATTATAGGATAATAGAAAACTGTGATAATTTTATGGATATTCATGCATAAGACTACTGCTGTTTCAATTATCAGATTATATCACCAAATGCTTTCTGATCCAAATCTCCATATAATTCAGGAAGGCCCTCCTGTCTTCTATCCATGAGAGAAAGCCATTCACTTACCATCACCACATGGCCAGACATTCCTGCCCACTTTTGGTAAACATATATAGGTACCCGCCAGTACCCTCACCCAATATCAGAACTAACTCTGAGCCTTTTATACTCTCACCCACATTTCTGCACACCTGCCCCACACTGGCCCACATATACGAATAAGACTTGCTAGGCACACAATACAGGGATGCAAGGTGTGTTTCCCAAAAGAGTGAACAAGCCTCTTGGATTAGAGGGGCGTTTGAGAAAAAGTAGGATAGATGGGAAGTAAACTACGTGGACAAACTGATCTCTATTACCATCCAGATAATTCTCTATTTCAGTGTGAATAGAGATACAGACTTAAAGTGTCTTTTATCTAAGTTTCTCTGCTAAATGATAGAGCTCAGGGCCAAAAGAATTGAAAGTGATTGTTTATGTGATATCACATGGTTAAAAAAATTAAATGATTGGGATTTTCTTCCTAAAGTCATCTTTTAGTAATTCTCATCTTGGTAACTGGGGGAATCTCACACTCAACTATACAATGCCCAGGAAAATCTGTGTATCCCTAATAATGTATTATTTTCATAGAGATCTGAAGCTCAAGTTGAGAGAGAATTTCTGGCATCACTGTCATCATCATCAACAACAGAGGACTGCAACCTGGAGGAAGAAGAGCACTGAGAGAAACCAGAAGTAAACCGTTTAAGAACACTGTATACAAGTCCATTGTTTCAGTTTAACTGTAGCAGTATGTTTAATTCTAGTCCAATCCATGGTCAGGATTGGCTTTTACAATTCATCTTTAAAAATCTAGAAGGCAATAAATCCCAGTAAATTATTCTTAAGGGATCTGTCCAACCATAATTTTGGCTCTTATTGGTAGAAAACATATTTTAAGATGGATAAATAATCATTATGAAGCATAGAGAGTTTTCAACCATTTCTTTGCAAACACTCTTGATAATAGCAACTGTTCATCATAATACAAAACAGAAAGGATTAATTTACTGTGGCATGAGAGGCCCTGCCAGTTCCTAAATGCCCTAAATAGTTTCTCTGAGATTTTTCACATTGTTTAGGCCTCAAGGAAAACCAAGGCCCCGCCTCCAGGTTTGGTAGCAAACAAACTCTGCTTCTCCGGTTCCAGGCTCCGGTCACCGCTCTGGTAGTAGGCTTCGTGCACATTCGCTAGGAAGCTGGGCAGCTTGTCAGCAGGTACCAGTGAGACTGTGCAGCCTCCCCATCCTGCTCCAGTAAGTCGTGACCCTTGAGCTCCAAATGTCCTACAATAATGAAAAAGGAAAAATCAGACCCTGTAAATGAAAATGAGAGTGATCTGACTGCTGCTTATAGGACACACATTCTACCCAAGTTCTAATGAGAGAACATGTCTGTGTGTTGTCGAACATTTTTAGTAAATCAGGAATTTTATACTGTTGCAGAAGGTGATTTAAAACTTAATTGCATCTAAAACCAGCCCCTGGTTTTGGCTCTGAGTAAGTAGGTGGTTGCTACACAGCTCTTCACATGGCGACTTCATGGAATCTCCCTGCATCTTCAGGAGCTAGTCTGACAATTGGGTTCAGAATTTACCACCCAAAGAAATGTGTGATTGGATGGAAACCACTACACAATCCACTGCACAGCAAGAGATCAGTTTAGTCACCATCAACCAGGCAGTTTCACTATACCAGTGAAAGGCCCTATACACAGTAAAGTTAACATGTACTTCCAATTCTTTCTAATAAAATTTACTCCAAGTTCATAGCAGAATAAAAACTCCATAAGTAATTTAGCACAGTTTTGTCCCTTTTTTCCATATAAATGAGCTACTTTACTCCCTGGAAAATATCAATAGAATATTACCCCTACTCGAACATCAGATTTATTGCCATGCCCATAAATAATTTCCCCTCAGTGACTCTGTCAATTGATTTCTTGTCATCATCTGTTGTATTTTTTAAAACATGCTTTTCAGATGAAAATAGATGTTTAAGGAAAAAAAACAAAAATACTTGCAAATAAACAAAAATAACTCATGTCCTCCTGTTCCTCAAACATTCATTCAGCTGATGGCCCAACAGCTGAGCGAACCCAGACTCCTGAAAAGTCTCTCTCATCCTGGGATTCTAGGATTATTCTGAGTTCTTAGGCTGGCAAAGGGCCAGTTTGCAATTTGGTGATTTGAAATTTAAAAAAAAAAAGGTTGTCAGTCACATCAAACTATCTTTCCTGTGGAAAATGCTAGAACAACAGAGGTGTCATTGAGGCATCTCGTGAAGACCATGGCCTCATCTAGAGAAGAACACTGTGCCCTCTTCCTCGATTTTCTCAGGTCCAAACTATGTCACTTTGCTGGACTCAAGCCAACCAGGTTATGGACTTTTAGGCATATTTTCTTACACTTTTTTATTTGAACAGTTTCTGAAAGCTGTGGTTTCAAAACTGAACCTAAAGCAAACCGAGCGTTGCTTCTAACTTGCTGCAAACCCCACAGGTATTGTGCCAAGAGGGCCTATAGTCCTGAATATCCTGCCAGTTTCCAGAGAGCAGAAGCTAAAGTCTTCCTAGGTAAATGCATTCACTCTGAGTCCCCAGAGCTACTCTGTCACCACCCTGCCTGCTGTAGATGAAAATGGACTAAATTGCATCAACCACATGGTCTAAAATCATCAAGGCTCAAATTTCCCAAATAGGGAACGATAAGTGCTATTATAAATAGCCTTCTGCCCGTAGTTCGTGGCACTTGTGATCACAAATCAGGGCCTGCCCAGCAACTGGTCAGCAGCCTGCCCAGCTAGACACACTCACAAGGCAGAGAGGGCCTGTCTGCTGTGTCCTCACTGGTGCTTAAGATGGATGTTCTTTGGCATACGCCATAGAAATTCTGAGAGAAAGAGATTAACCAAAGAACTTATACCCAAATATGCATAACTCATGGACACAGAAAATAGTGCAGTGAAGGCCTAGCGGGGAGGGGCCAATGGGGATAAAAGGGGGACATCTGTAATACTTTCAACAATAAAGATAAATTTAAAAAAAAAAAAGAAATTCCGAGAGAGATCCAAAAGTTAGGAAACCAATAAGAGCTTTAAATCAAGAACGGAAAGCAGGTGAGCCAAGGGTGTTTAGTGAACTTTAGATGTTTGCATTTTTCCACCTTGGAGAAGAGTAAGACATTAAGAATATAGGTCTTGAGACGCAATACAAGAGCTATAGAAACCAAAACCCTACACACCTCCAAACACCACTTTGATGACCGTGTGGACTGGGAATAGTGTAGAAGGGTTAGTCAAAACAACAAAAGTTCTGCCTTAAAAAGCATGATCCTCAAAACAAAGGCCAGGCAGATGAGAGACGGAGATTATAAAGATAGTTCTCTTTGATCCATTTATCACTGAAAAGTATATTCTTATAGCCTTCCAGGCCCCCAATAAAGCCAGGCTAAAATTTCCTACTTTTAAATGAACTGATTTGACCATAAAACACTAAGGTACAACACACAGGACAATGGGGGGTGGGGGAGGAAAGAGATCCAATAGGCCCCAACTTTGGTACAAACTACAAAGAGGGAAAGCAAGGAATTTTGCCTTGTAGGTATTTCTAGTCAATTTTATTTCAAAATAAGTAAATATTTTTATATTAAATGGATATTAAATTAATTATTTTAGAAAATCTTCAATTTAGGGATAGCTTATATCTCTCTCTCTAATATCAGCCCGGCATAATTCCAGGCATTTGGTAGGTTCTAAAAAAATGGCTGCTGGTTTGTTATATTTGTTTTAAATATCAAAATATAGGAACTGCCTTATGACCTAGCAATTCCACTTCTGGGAATTTATCTGAAGAATCCCAAAATACTAACTCGAAAGAATATATGCACCCCTATGTTCATTGCAGCTTTACCTACAATAGCCAAGATTTGGAAGCAGCCCAAGTGCCCATCAGTAGATGAGTGGATAAAAAAGCTGTGGGACATTTACACCATGGAATACTACTCAGCTGTAAAGAGGAAGAAAATTTTACCCTTTGGGACAGCATGGATAGACCTAGAGAACATTATGCTAAGTGAAATAAGCCAGTCAGAGAAAGACAAGTACCATATAATTTCATTCATATGTGGAATTTAATGAACAAATTGAACTAACAAGCAAAATAGAGACAGACTCATAGATGGAGAGCAGGTAGACAGCTCTGGTGGGGGGAGAGGGGTGTTGGGGGGTAGGCGGAGGGATTGAGCAAAAAAGAAAAAAAAGAGGAAAAAACTCCTAGACACAGACAACAGTGCAGTGATTGTGGGGGTAGAGGGGTGGGTGGAGGTGAAAGAGTGCATGCAGGATAAATGGTGATGGGGAAAAATTTAAAGAAAAAAAATGTATATATCAAAATATATACTCAGGCTTTTTAAATTAATGATAGAAAACCTCAGTTATGTGAGATAAAGTATAATAATAAAGGAATAAGATGATACTTGCCCAACTATAAAATATTTTTTAAATGAAAATGTAAATTTTAAAGTAGAATTTACTGAAGAATATAAAACAGTTTTGAAACGAAGTTAATTACATGTGAGACGGCATATATATTAATATAATATAAACATAAGCCATCAATAATATATTCTTTACCTGGAAGTATTTCGAGCATCTGCTCTAAAACCTAAAATTTTCAGACTAGAATCTCAGAAAAAGAGACCTTTCAGAACAGCTTCTATTCTTTTTACAGCCAGGTTATTAACACTTTCGGATCGCTTTAGATTTAAGAAATCACAGGCTTCAAATACTGTTCAAATGAAAAAGTATAAGAAAATATGACCACAAGTCTATTTTAGAAATGTGAGCCGCTTAGGCCATTGGAGAGCAGTTGGTTTGGTTCTAGCACATGGCAAATATATATATATATATATATTTGCCATATGTTTGGCCAGTGGGGGGACAATAAGTGGAAGAAGACAGGGACCCAAAGAGAAGCATGCCCCGAGGACAGCGGGAATGGCTCCCTCCCTTTTCCCTGGCAGATTAGCACCAAGGGCCGCGGGGAAGGAGCACGGGAAGGTGGTGTGCACCACACTCCTCCCGGTTAGGCCCCGGTCAGGAGACGGGGCGCAGGGGCTGAGCAGCAGGCCAGGGGCTAAAGCTGCGGAAAGCCTTCCGAGGAAGACGGCACAGCTACTTGTGTAACCTTTGTTGGCCTATTAAATTTGTCATGAACAGCTTGGGCAATAATGCAGCACTGAGTCCTCCTTTCAACAAGTGTTAAAGCGGAAATAACGGCTCGAACTATTTTTTTCTTAAGTGCAACCAGGGAAACTAATAACGAATGAACTGTCTCACATGTAATTGACTTGGTTTCAAAACTCTTTTGTGTTCCTCAGTAAATCCTACTTTAAAATTCAGCTGTTTTTTAAAATTTACATTTTCATTAAAAAGAGTTATTTTATCATTGGGCAAGCTCCATTTTTTTCCTTCATTATTATACTTTTTTTCACATAACTGAGGTTTTTAACATTAATTTAATAAAAATAAACAAACAGCCTCCCTGCAGGAGTGTAGTTTCCTTCTCCCTCTCTGGCCCTTTCTTCGGATCCTCAACTGGTTTTCTCTTGAAGAGTAAAAGGCTCCACTGAGAAAACAGCAAGTTCTGGTGATGTCTGTCCTTCCCCCCTGTCTCCACCTGAGTCA